ATGTCTCATAGGTTCCGTAGCCCTTGGATCCGAACTTCGCATCCGTATGGATCGCATCCACGAATTTGGCCTAAATTTCAGTGCAGTTTAGTTACAATATGTTTAACATTTGCAAATTAGTAGCTTTACATCTGTTGGGTCTAATTTAGCTGACGAGGGTAAGCCATCGAAATCTGGACCTGTATATACAAATATATTTGATTATTATGTGAGTATTGAAGTACGGCATTAAAATAAATAAATACATTAAATGTTATTAAAATTATAGTAGCATACCTGATGGATCTAAACCAGTGATACGACCCAACTGTCCATTTAGTGTCTGTCCCGCATAGCCACCAATATGGGCACCTAATGAATGGCCCACAATATGCACATCATTTAGATCTAGACCTGAAGTGCTCTACAATTGTGTTTATTTTATAATAAAATTCATTCACAATAAAAAACTTTTAAATAAAATTTTTTATATTACTTTTAATTCATTGATAAACAAAGCCATGACCGGGCCAACAACCCTGGCATTAGCCGTAGCCTTAAAAATATGTTACAGTATTGTGCTCATATATAAGTAATCAAGCAACAATTCCATGGCATACCTGTTCGTAAGGCCATCCATTGCCGCCACTCCAGTCCACAACAAACACATTATAGTCACCGGCATTCAGAAACTGGTCTTTCATTTGGTTCATCCATTTCACAAACAACTGGTTGTCCGTAAATCCGTGAACAATAAATTTTGTGATCCGAGTGCTCACAAAGTTGGAGTTCCCGATGGACCGGCTGTTGCCCTGAGTGAGCACTTGAGCCATACTGGGGTTCTGTCGGCTATACAATAGGAATCTGGTGTTCATTTGTTGAGGGCTTTGCGGTAACACCACTTTTGGCCGTAGGGTTGGGTCCTTGTAATCATTGGTGGTAAAGTGACCGATACCAGGGTAAGTCACCTCAGACTGGGCATGGAGTCGACCCACTTGTATGATAATAAAAAATATTACTGTTGATAATTGCATTTAGTTTTAATGAGCTTGGTATTAGTAAATCAATTATGTTACTAGTATATTTTATGCAATAAATATTTGTATGTCTGTTTTATTATATAGTCGGAAAAACTTCTAGTTGTCTAAACAAATTAATTACCATGAACATTTGCAGTCGGTTTATTTAAAATGACAAATGTATTATTTACAATTTATGTAATCCTGAGCTAAGATTTTAAAAACAAATCCTGCTAAAACATATTAATATTTCGCAAAATAATTGATTGTTATTTTAAAATCTATTGTAAATTTTACATTAAAAAGTATAGTATAGTCAAATCAAATACAATTAAATACTCATTTTTAAATAAATGAAATATGGACAAAAGTTACTTATAAATTTATTTTATAATTTATATTAATAATATTTATAATGAACATTTGCTAGAAAAATATGTGAATTACACAGTTTATAAAATATAAAATTTGATAAGAATTTATTATTTAACAAATATTATAATAAATTTATTTTACCGGCATTAGTGATTATTACAGTACGTTGAATAATATATGATAAATATTTAATTGACTAACTTGTATAGATTATATTTATGTATGTTTTACTCATAAATAATAGTCTTTCCAAAATTCATTATAAATAGTAGCGTATGGATCATCAAATACTTCAACACTTGGGTTGGGATTTAAATTCTTAACTTTTGGCACATTTTCGTCACTCAATAATTGCGGCCAATTTGGGTCCGGAGTACTTAATATACAACAAAAACTTATATTAGATAAGAAAAACAGATAACAGATAAAACATTTATTAGTGCACAATCAACTCAAAGCACTAAAATACTAATAAATATTATAAAACTTTACCCATATTTAGCGAAATTAGTCCACATTTTCATGATATCCCGACTGAACTGTCTCTCCGTGTCGGTGAACGGCATTTGTTGGCCGGGTATGAAAGGCACGCCAAACACAAACGGTATTTCCATGCCGTGGCCTATGCCCGAGATCTCATCATTACATTTATACATCTCTGCGAACGACTTGCTCTGAAAAGTCAATTCATAAAAGTAGACATTTTTGCCACTATTTCGGCCATTTGTGGCAAATTGTTTGGCGAATAGAAATGTCGGCAATTTCATGATTATATCACCAAAAAAGTCATAAAACCCTCGTCTCAGAGCCAGAGAACTACTTGTGTCGCCATTTTTGACATAATAGTTGACCACCTTTTCCACGTCTATGTCCTTAAATATTTGGTTTACTATATTAACGGATGTCTTAAAGTCATCCAAAGTCAGGTCATCCTTGGCTGGGAGTATACCTCTGGACAGTACTGATCCCTCGTTTGATATACAACCGGCCATTAAATCAATGCCTATAAGAAATGTGTCAAAAACAATACAATTAACCAAAAATTTAACATTAATTTCATGTTTATTAACAATTATTTTAATATACCTGAATAGTATAGTTTATCTCGGAGTGCCTGTTGTGTAGGTAAGGGCAGGTATTCTGTGCCCACCAGTGGAAAGTTGGTTGGGTTTGCGTACTTAACCAACTGTTTTGCGTCAACTTTTCTCAGGAACTCTAACCAATCCTCAGATTCACTGCATTTCAGTTGTTTAGCTAATCCTTTGGCCTGAGCTAAGGCTTCAGATTTAGTGATCACATCCCTGTCCTTATTATACAAATGGGCCCCGCTTTGCATAATAGCCCTCTTAAACAGACCCTTTGATAGGGGAGACAATATGTGCGCCGATATGGACCAACTGCCGGCGCTGCCACCAAATATAGTGATCTCATCCCTATCCCCACCAAAAGCATGAATATTATCTCTCACCTATAATTATATTAACAAGTAAGTAAGTAAGTAAATTACTGTACAATATATTATATTGCTTAATAGAAATTAAAAACAATAATTTTATACCCATTTGAGAGCTAATAACTGGTCATAAAAACCCTGATTTCCGGGCGCGTCCTCCCGATCTCCATATAGGAAGCCTAAGGGACCTAATCTATAGTTTGCGGCCACAAACACGATGTCATGTGTAGCCAGTGGTCCGCCGTTAAACTTTGAGATGGACCCGGTAGCTAATCCCCCGCCATATATCCAAAACATGACTGGTTTTAGAGATGATTGTTTCGATGAGCTATTGTTTCCCACATTTGGTGTCCATATGTTTAGTACTAAACAGTCTTCGTCCTCAACGTACGTATTTTGTGAGTACGCGGAAGCCCTTTGTGGACAGGCATTGCCCATTTTGGTGCCATCCATAATACCCTTTTATATATTACTTATAATTAATAAATAAGTAATAAATAGTATTATTTAGAAAACTCACATCAAATGGCTTTTGAATGGGAACTGGTTTTGCGAATCTAAGGGCACCGACCGGTGGTTCGGCGAACGGTATGTTCAGAAACTGGTCAACACTGGTGTCCAACACTTGAATAGTCTGTCCCCTCACTCGACCAGAAGTAGTGTTCACAACAACACTGTTATCACCGTTTGAAGTCATTATTATTTTTAAAAATAATTTATATTTACATAAATAACTATTTATATTTAATTAAATTAAATTTTAATTAATTATTACAATAATAATTTAAAATATTACACAGTAATAATTATGCTATTTCATTTTTAAACACATAACTATGTATAAATAATAATTTTATGACTTCGCTGATTAAATGATTTATACAGATAGATAAATATGAATTGATAAATAAATAATTTTATTGATATAAAGTACTACACATCTGATTAAAATACTGTATATAACCTTCACTACTCTCTATTTAATAGTAAACGTGCATTTAAATTAATATTAAAACATTTAATTATTAAATTATTTTTATTTTTATATTAAATGTTAACGATTTTTATATACCATAATAATAATGAATAACAATTTATATGTATATGTAATTTACATATTACGGAAATATTAAATTAAGTTACAATTTTATTAAAGAATTATCAATATTAATTGTTGAATGCTAACATGCAAAGCTAAACAAAATGCACTCAATTATGAATAAAGCCATAGATACATAATTAAATAAACATTAAATAATGTTTTCAATTCAATTTCGTTGTACTTACAGTATTGTCATAAAATATTCAAAAAAAATAAATAATAATTTTTTTATTAAAAACATTAACGTTAAATATGCTGATAAATTAATTTTACTAAATCAAAAATTTTCATAATACTTTAATTTTTAATCGTTTCATTTAAATTATTTTATAATTAATCAAATCACATGCAACATTATTTTTAATCAATTAATATTTTAATAAGCAAGTTATAAATTCATTTACAAATAATAGTCTTTCCAAAAGTCTTCACACGGAGTATGAAAAGGATTATTCAATACTAGGCTCATATTATCCGGGTTAAGGTCACGAACATTTATCTCGTTTTCATGTAATATTTGTGGCCATATTTCATCCGGGTTACTATAAGTACCATAAAACATATTAAAATAATAAACAATTAAAAATAATAATTTATAGCATTTTACCCATATTTGGCAAAATTAGTCCAAATGCGGACAATCTGTTTACTGAACGCAATATCTTTGGCTGAATATTGTTGTGGGTTAATGAGGGGTATACCAAAAGGGAACGGTATATCCATGCCGTGACATACACCCATAGTCTCTGGTTTGCAGCCTAATATTTTTGCGAAATACTCACTCAAATAGTCCCACTCATAGAAATACACCTTTTGCTTGTTTTGGACTTTGGTTTTAAATTGTTTTGCGAACAAGTATGTGGGACATTTTAGTTGTAAATCGCCGTAAAACTCATAATAAGCCCATTTGAGTGCCTGTGAATCACTCGTATTGACACCTTTGAGGTAATAGTCCACCACCTTTTGCACATCCAGTCCGTGAAACATAGCATTTGTATTAATGACAGACTGTTTGAAACTATCGACAGTAAAGTTATCCGGGTTTACGAGGTGTGCCAGTAATGAGCCCTCCTTTCGGGTTACACCGGCTAACAGGTCTATGTCTATAAACACATTTAGATAAACATATTTTAAGTTTATATATAAACTGAATTAATCTTGGTCATACCTGAATTGAATTTCATGTCATCGAAAGCCTTTTGTGCGGTTATATTACGAAACTCAGTGCCAATGAATGGGAAGACTTGAAAAGTAGAGTATTTTTGAAACTCTTTTGCATCGATTCCTCGCAAACATTGGATCCAATCCTCGGCTTCACTACAATTCAATTGCTTCGCTATTTGTTTGGTTTGATTCATGTATTGGTCGACATCGTAGAGATCCTTTTCCTTATAGTACATATGCGCTCCACTTTGCATAATAGCCCTCTTGAACAAACCCTTACCCAATGGGGACAGTATGTGTTCAGTGACTGAGATACTACCGGCGCTCTCACCGAATATAGTGATCTGATCCTTGTCTCCTCCAAATGCATGAATATTTTCTCGAACCTATTCGACCAATAAATCACCTTTATCATATTTTTCAGTTATTTATTGAAATTTTGTTAATTTATACCCATTTTAGTCCTAATAGCTGGTCGTGTAGTCCGACATTTCCGGGCGCGTCCTCCCGTTCCCCATACAGGAAACCAAAGAGTCCTAACCTGTAGTTAACGGTCACCACAACGACATCATATGTAGACAATGC